GTCTATGTTCATGTGTGCATAGTGAATGTACATCACTAGGTTTTGCATTGCATTATCAAAGGTTTCTTTGACATAGTGCAAAGTAACACAACCCGATACGAGTGCCCTTCCTTTTGATGTACTGTAATATACTGGTGTGTAAATTAAATGAAGGCATAAATAACAATAAAAGCTCATTCAAAGACAAGAGAAAGTGCTTTTTAGGTCATTGTGTAATGATTGACTGATCTGCTGGGAGACAAATGTTCAACACGCATCCTGACACATCATCAAGGGTTATTTGTGCGTTTTAGATGTAGGATTAACTGTTAAAGTGGTAAAGAGAACTGTGTCATCAGTGTTTAAATACTAAAGTCTACAGAAAGAAACCAAAATGGAGCCAAGTGTAAAAGCATCCATATTTAATTCAGATCTCGTCTCACTGGAAGATGACCACAGAGATGGAAGCCATCTATGTCCTCCGCCATGGAGCCATTATGAATAGTACTGCTGTAATCCACTACAAACCTCCTCATGAGCTAAATGAAGTTAAGTAAGTCGCCAGCTTTGTTGGCTAAAACGCGCAGTTGAGTCGCAACATGGTACAACACGTACAAAGTACAAAGAGAAGAAAGTAAAAACATGAAGCTTCATGAAAAATCTCTCTTCAGAGGATAAAAGCGTATTGTACATCACCAGATTAGCAGCAGCTTTGTTAAGCTCATTTTCTGTGTTATTAATGCATATTATTAAATCATGGCGGGCTGGCTAGGTGGTCAGCTATGGGCTAGTTAGCTAGACAGTTAGCCCGTTCCGTCACGCCTCAATGCTCCACCGGTTACAGCGTCAGTCCGCCGCTGCAGAGGAGAACGAGCTACCTTGCTAACTAGCCCGCCATCCGTCCTCGCCCCAGCAGCTAGCGACATCCCGTTATCCCGTCGTGTTGTCACTAAACAACACTCCACATTGGACCATGGAGAACGCTCAGCGTCTCGTACTCACTTTCTATGGTGCTGGTTGTGTATCTGTGTGTGCGTGTTTGTGTGGATAGTGTATGTACCTGTATTTGTTTGATGAATGTGTGTGTGTGTCACAGCCATTGATGGCCTCTAGAGTTTCATCCTTCCACAATCATTTGCCTGTTGGAAGGTGCAGCCACTCTGCAGGCATCTGAGACCTGCAGCTAACAATCACTGAGCTGTAGGAGCATCAGACAGACCTCTCCGGTTTCACAGGGAAACCAGTGAATGAGAGACAAAGACTGGCAGAGAGAGAGAGAGAAAGCGTGTGAGAAAGAGAAGCGCAGAAAAACATTGGAGGTTGTTATTTTCATCCACCCTCTCCATCTCTTTCTGCAGTTCACCTTTTCTGTATGACAACAGATACATTACATAGTGACCCCATGGGGGACCTGGACAAGCTGCTTGTCTGTCCATCCTCATAAAGCGAGGCGAGTCCTTCGACTGGTCGACATGTCCGCTGCTTGTTTGAAATGACACTGTTCAATGTAGTCGTGTTCAGTATCACTAACAAATGGTTGGGATTAGTTAAAAATCAATCATTTACTGCTAATCAACCTGCCCAGAGGAAACATTTGAACCTGGAATTCTTTCTACAACTGACAACTGACTCAAATTCTAAAAAAGGTAAAAAAATGGTATATCTTTCCATGTATTTATCTAGCGTATTTACACACATCCTGCATTGGTTGGGGTTTGATCACATACTAGAACAACCGTCAGAGACAACAAGGATGGAGACGTGTGCTCAGCGGTGTGTGCGTGTTGAGACAGCCGACGACACAATGTTTCTGTAATAACTCACCCTAAATGCAGCTTTGTCACTTTGTGCCAATGCCTCCCAAGTGTGTGATACTTTATTAGGAGGTGATCCAAAGCTGCTGTGCTGCCGGCGGGTGATGGGTCACCCTGCACATTACCACCGGTTTCACTCCCGTTAACTCCCGGAAAACCACGTAAGCGGCTTCTTTCCCACCCACAACATCCAACCCGTGGTTGCCTTTAACGGATTTTGTATGAATAAATCAAAATCAATTAGCATTGAAAAATAACAGTAAGTATGACGATATTGCAACTTTGGAGAGACATTCAATACAAAGGTTTTCTCAAATGTGTGTTTTCCAAGAGAATGGAAAAAGACAACAGTAGCCACCTTTTAACTTTTAATGCCAACATATGTCGCACACACAATTAGTCAGAGCGGATCCAGGGGGGTCACGGTTCTCCCCAAAGAAAGGTATTGTGCTGAATTATAGGGGGAATTGTTTCAAAACTTCACTGAATCAGAATATTCTTATTGTTGTCATCCCGAATTATTTAGAGATGCTGGTGTCATGGTGACGTTGACTGTCTTGCTGCCACTTGACTAAAAGCTACATTTGGTCTGCTCCACCTAACATTTAAATTGGCGTGATAAGAAGAAGATCTTTTTCTACAAAATAATATTAGTATACAGTGTTAAAGACAAGAAAATACAAACATCTGTAATCCATAAATACTTTAACCAGTATAGAAACATAAAGTGTGTGAATGACACTCACATCATTCATTAATAAAGTAGTTGAAGCACAATAGTCATTCCCACCGCGGTTCTTTTTCATTTCATCACCATTTTTGTTCTGCGCCTGTCAGATTCTGTGCTGCTTCCTATTGTTTCCTTCTCCGTTTTATCACCACAGAGGACAATTCTTATTTTAATCATGTTATGCTCAGGAAACACCGTCAACCCATTCAACACAGCAGCATTTAGCACAGAACTGGCTTAAACAAGAATAAGAGGGAGGCAGAATAAAATAGTTGCCAATTTGTTTGCTGTGTGCTGGAACTGTACGAGAGCTCTTTGTGAGGCGCCTGACAAGCAGGTGAGATCAAAGTCAGGGGGACAAAAGAGGCTCAGCAGCGATTTGTCAGGAGACGAGAGGCAGCGGCCGGGTCCAGCCCTCTGATCACCGCCCCACCAAAGAACTCTGTCCATGAGAAAAAGTACAGCAGAAAGGGTTCAAAGGTCATTTTGATTTGCTCTGGATTACTGGTACCTCCTTTTTCCTCTGCTAAAAGAGGGCTGGGGGCGGGGCAAGAAAAGGACCTGGCTAATAACCTTTGTATTATTGCAGAAAAGAAACCCTTTTGTGCCAAAAGGGTTTGTTGGGGTGGTGGTGGGATTTTGGGGGAGGTCAATTAAAAAAGGAGCCCTGAAATTCTTGCTTTCATTCATGCGTGGAGGAGGGAAGAGGGGAAAGTTAAAATGTGTGCTTTGGGGTTTTGTCCTGAGCTCGTGGGCCGGGTTTGGATTCGTTTGTCAAGTGGACGATGGCAAACGTGCTCGAAAATGTTGTGTAAATTGTCAAGAATTGCAGGAGCTTTGCTTCCCACACAGGTGTGAATGGCTCCCGGCACAGGGGACGCTCAGGGGACGCACAGGGGACACACAGGGGACGCTCGGGGGACGCTCAGGGCACACACAGGGGACGCACAGGGGACGTACAGGGGAGGCACAAGGGACGCTTAGGGGATGCTCAGGGCACACACAGGGGACGCACAGGGGACGCTCAGGGGACACACAGGGGACGCTCGGGGGACGCTCAGGGGACACACAGGGGACGCTCAGGGGAGGCTCAGGGGACGTACAGAGGACGCTCAGGGGACGTACAGGGGACGCTCAGGGGACACTCAGGGGACACTCAGGGGACTACAGGGGACGCTCAGGGACCCGATCGCTCCGGCCGCGGTGGGAGGCGGTCAGGAATGCAGTGTGCAGTGTAATGTGAACTCGAATGGCTCCCTGGCCGCATTGAAGGACCAATTAGTCAACTTTGTATTGTGTAGAGCGCAGAACAAAGCTCAGAAACACAGTTGGTTTCACTCTGCCAAACCGGGCCGAGGTTCTGAAGTCTGGCCGGGCCGTCGGCAGCTCCTGCTCTCCCTCAGCGGCCCAGTGGAAACGCACTCTGTGCTGCGGTTGAAGTTTCCCGACGTTCAAAAGTGAGCAGGGAAGTGAAATCAAACACAAGTGACCTCTCAAGACGCATTTGAGATGCACCCTGATGCCCTCACCCGGTCTTCAGGGGTCCACTGGGGTCTCAGTAATCCAGAACCGACCCGGGACTCCAGTCTGTCCTCCAGGGTCCCGTTTCCCTTCCACAGGTCTCAGGTGTGTGACAGCTTCACGGCGACATGTTACACAAAGACAGACTTAAAAGGTAAACGACCGGGCTTCTTTTGGTGAGTGTGATTATGCGTTTGTGTGTTGGTGCAGGTGAAATGGGACTTGTGTGCAGTCTGTTTTGTCTTTTTGTTCCTGAAACAGTATCTTTAGCTTGATTCTCTGCACGGCTAAAAGTCAGAGCACAAGATGCTTCCCACTGGCCAACTTCTCCACTAAAGTGGGACAAAGAATTGCCTCTGTTTAATAATTGACATTTGAACCCTAAAAACTACAAACAGCTTCAAACGTTTCCTAATGGCAATCCAGGGGTGCGTGTTTGTGCGCGCGTGTGTTGCCCTGCTTATTGATGGGATGCTCCGTGGGCGGCGTGGAGCATAATTAAAATAGTTTGTGAGAGAAACAGCAGGCCACATCTGAGCTTCCGCCCTCTTCCAGCATCCAACCACATCAAGAGTGTCTCACTTAGAAACGGCCACCAGAACAAGCGGCTGCGCACGCGCTTCACTGTGGTGTCTGACTGGCGAGGGGCCCGGGAGACATAATGCGCACACACTTGTAATTAAAAGAGACCTGCCTCCTCCTGATCATTGGGGTAAATAAAGTGACAGAGGCCGCCGGCCGGGTGATGTATGGGAGGGGAAGACAAATTAACCGTTGAGCCTCTGGGGGATTGTCAGCACAGGCCTTCACAGCGGCAGTGGAGCAGCGCCAAAGGGCAGGGAGATTTGTAGATGATGGTGCTAATTACCAGAATGCAAACCATAATGCGACCAAGATGGAAGCAATTTAGGCAGTAGTCATTTAGCCTGCTGCTCTTCCGCCCACCGGCTGCTGCCGAGCCGGAGCTCAGCCCCGGGATGGGAAAAGTCTGGGACAATCCATTGCTCGGGCGGAAGATGAAGTATTAACGCATAGCAGAGAGGTTCGCAGCGTGAGGAGCACATGGGGACGGATCCGGGACGGACGTTTCATTTGTCTTTTTCTCTCAATCTGACTTGAACAGAAATGACCCGTACCATTAGCAGGAAATAGCAGGTCAGGGGCAGGAAGGAGCATCGGAAGACTTGAGAACAAAGAAGCCTGCTGAGAGGTTGTCTGGATGGAGCTTACCTCGCCGATGGAAGAACTTGGTGGATCGGTTCCACGTACATGTATGTGCAGGAACATCATGGCCAGCCTGCGCCTGGGGAACTAGGGCGGACGGGGGAACGGTACCAGCCAAAGACCTCGCATGATGGCTCCTAACTGAAGACAGAAGCGTCGGGTGAATATGCTAAAGGTTAAGACAGCTTGGTGACAGCCAGCAGCTTGTTCCTCACCTGCTGCAGTGTGTGTGCTGCCTGTGTAATTTGGGAGGTCTAATTGCTCTTTCAGGACATTTCACAAGAGCAGTTCAGAGGAGAGAGCTGTTCCGCACTCAGCCACTGTGTAATTTTACCCCGCCGCAGTCTCTCACTTCACACAGGCGCGATACCTTTGGCCTCCCCCCTTTTCCTTTGTATCAATTGGTTGGAGTTCAGCCTATTGTCGCCACAAGCTTCTTTTATATGTGCGCCGGCCTGAGCGGAGGCGCTCAGTCGGACCCGCAGGAGGGATTCACAGGCGATCCCACCTCCAGGGCGGTGTCTGTGCGCGCGGCTGGAGCTCTGGAGCGCGGGGGCCCCCGACACTTTAATGGGACCCTGAGAGCCAGAAGGAAGTGCTCCCGTTTTGTAATGCCAGCGTCGCGCCACGGCCATGCCACAATGCTGCTGATCTCTCTGCTGGTGTTGCTGAGCGTGCTGCGTCCCGTCTGCCTCCAGGCCCGCTGCTCCGCGGGCCCGGCCGGACACCCCCGCCCGCGGAGGGACGCCGGGGGCCGCGGGGGAGTTTATGAGCACCTCGGTGGAGCCCCGAGACGCAGGAAACTCTACTGCGCTACTAAATACCATTTACAAATCCATCCCAACGGGACGATAAACGGATCACTGGAGGAAAACAACAAGTATAGTGAGTATTTACGCACAGAGACAGTGACACAAATACTTCTCCTTTTGTGGAATGGAATAAAACACGTTCGCTTTTCGGGTAAATAATGATATTGTGTTTGACTTATGAAAATATGTAGGATTCACTATAATATTTATTGATATATTTGAGTCAATTGTCACATGATTAGTCAGTCAGACCTCTGTGTGTTTGTCTACGTTTCTTCGTGCGCGCGTGTGTCCGTGTCTGTGCGACAAATCGTGCAGGTTGGTCTCCATTTGAAGTAGAAGCCAAAGTATTAACATCCAGGCTGCACAAAGGCGCCGTGCTAACGGATGTATTTATCTAATCAGCGGCCATTAGAGGCTTCCTACCGCCTCAATGGGCCATTGACCAATCAAGCGCTGATTAAAAACGCCAATAAACACACTGAATGGGGCGCGAGGAGGTGTGGAGCACAACAGGATGTTCGTTTCTTTACTCCTGAAGAGCGACTGAGGTTGTTTGTTGCGTTTGATGGTCAATAAATCCACAGTGCAAATGAAGACTGATGTTTATCTTATTCCTGCTTAATGTTCATTATTTGCGAGGCTGAATTTGGCTTTATAAATAAAATAAAATGAATTGAATTATGTTTCTCTGTTTTGCAGGCATCATGGAAATTACAGCGGTGGATGTGGGTGTTGTGGCCATAAAAGGCCTTTTCTCCAGCCGATACCTGGCCATGAATGATAAAGGCAAGCTGTATGCCTCGGTGGGTACACACGTATAATCGTCCTTTATCCTTTTGGTCACCAGACGGCTGCTGCTACCACGCGGCACAGAGGCCTTGAAGGCTGAGGCTCCTGGCCGGGTCTGAGCGGTGTTAATGTAGAGCTGACAGCGGCTGGGTGGAAACCCTCTTGGTGCCTCCGGTTGACCTGTGAATCAAAACCTTACACGAGCTGCAAGACAAATGTTTCCTCCTCTCTCGTCCCCCCAGGAAGGGTTCAACAAAGAGTGCGAGTTCGTGGAGCGGATCCATGAGTTGGGGTACAACACCTACGCGTCGTGCCACCACTCCACCGAGCTGCCGCTGCCGCTGGGAAGTGGCAGTAAGCGGCGTGCCAGTGCCAAGCGCCAGTGGTACGTCTCCATCAACGGCAAAGGGCGGCCGCGGCGAGGCTTCAAAACGCGGAGTACGGACAAAGCGTCGCTTTTCCTGCCGCGTGTGCTCGGACTCACGGACCACGAGATGGTCACGAATGTCACCCGAGGAGAGCGGCGCAGACGCAGACACCGCGCCAGGAAAGGCCGCGGCCTGCGGCCAGATGACTGAGCAGATTCATGTGGCGGGAGTTTACCCTGTTGCCCTCCGACTGAAACGCGGACCCCTCGCCTCGGCACATCCTGTCGCTTGGCAGCGGCGCAGGATGCGAAGGAACGCTTCGGATTCTGCCTGGTGGATTAGCGGAAGCATGTTGATGCACGGAGAGCAGAACACCCAGAGGAGAAGGAAGGCACAGCGTGGGGACACACACACACACACAGCTGAATAATCTACCACTTACAGATTTTGTTAAATGCCATTGTCATGACATATTCTCTTAAATGCCTTTGTCATGTAAACAGATGTATTAATATAGTTGAAGTTCTACTTTTGTAAAATAAATAATTTTACCATCGACACCACACGGATCAAAAACCCTTTTAACGTGGTTCTCTTGTGAATATTGTATGCACCGTGCATGTACCGTGACATCATAGCTTTTCACTTCACAAGCAGGATATCATACAATTTGTTTGCTAATTGAAGTGCTAACGCAAATATGACGGATATTGAAGAGAGGACTTTAATCAGCAAAGCACTTTTTGTCGGATTCACAGTAGGAGACGTTGTGCGTTACAATGTGATGTCTACTGCTCGTCAACTGAAAGATGGACTTTTTATATTTTTACTAATGAGATGAATATTTATTTGGTGCCTGTGTTGTAAGTTATTGATAATTCTATTCCTGCATTTTACCCATTTTGCTGTTTTGTTTCATAGTTTTCATTCACCACCTGGTTCCAATATAAAACGTGATGGGATCGACCCCAGAGACAAGTGGCTCATTTCTTCTAAAGTCTCTAAAGTTTGTCTTCTCTCTTAACAATGAAGCGATTTTCTCTGCTGGAAAATAAGTGTTATTGTAGTAAATTGGAGAGACACATGCGTGTGTTAGTCATGTATTAGTAATGATTTATTTTTAATGATTGATCTCATTTTGAGCTCCTATGTTAAAAACAGTGTTTGGACGTCACCAAGCAAACAAACCTAAAATCCCCCTCAAGACTCTCTGAATTTCTGGAATCCGATATCTGTTTTTATATTTAAAGGGAAAACAAGGTTTTAATTGCTGAACAGATAATAATTATTTCAGCTCTTTATTATTGGGCCACGGCTCTCTGAAGCCTGACACACACAAACAGCCGGACCTCGGACCAATGTGCCCCCCGATAATAATAACAGATAAACAGTCAAATAAAATCCATTGATTCACTGTAATCGGTGTGACCTTTTTGTATTGTTACTCGTAGCTTTTACACACATATGGTGACGTGTGGCAGCAGAAAGCAGCCTGCTGTGCCGTATTTCTTCTGTGGACAGCAGTTGCAGACAGGTGTGCGGTTCATTACAACCTGGTGTGCCTTTAGAGTTCCCCGCCCCTCCGTCCACGTCCCCCTACGGTTGACATGATCGCTCTGTCCCTGCTTGAGCTCATTCGTTAATGCTCATTGGGACTATTTTGGATGTTCGGGTTTTGCCTCGTTCCCATCTATAGGTCGCTGCATATAAAGCCTTGTTATCCTATACCTGCGGTGCTGGGGAGGCTTCCCGGCCTGGACAATAGCTCCTCCCAGGGGGGGCCTGGGAAGCAATGTCGCTTGAGACTTTTGGGCTTCTTTTTAAACGCCGACCAAAAGCCACAGAGTCGACAAACAAGGCAGAACCGGCTGAAAGCAGAAACTGTGTCAGACAACGTGTGACACCTTGCTACGGCTTTTCATCAATGCCGAACTCTAATATTACTCAACAGGAATGCGGCCTTCGGAGAGGCCGGGGCCTTTTGTGGCCCGTCCCCCTGCCGCCTTTTCATTTAGCAACATGCACCGTCTGAATCTTTTTTCACATGTTCTCTCTACCCATGGGACCCGCTGAGGACTGGCCTCACTACGGTTCATCCGCTGGGCAACACACACAGCTCTCATCCGCAATCTCAGCTGCCTAATGTAAAGCCATCTAAATAATAACTTTAAAGCCATCTTTATTGAATAGATATTCATTAACAATGACTTAGTAAGCATTTATTGAATGATCACCGACATACATACCAATTTATTCTTATGCATTTAGCAGACAATTCACAATCCTTTGAGCATCAACAGATCATTTTATTAAAGACTTAAGAGTGATATGAACAAGCGCTAGTTTATTGATACGGTTAATTATTAGACCTTTCTTTTCACCAACGAGTAAAGGGTGTTTTTCATGCTATCACCATCATGTTTGGGGCATATGGAAATAGACCCACGGTTCTCAGACAGAATGTGTGTTGTGAATGAGTCAGAATGGGACTATTTATCAGAACGCAATCTGTGAAAGAACCGAGCACAGCTGGGTTATTAACAGGACACTGGTGTCCTCAGCACAGCGTTCACTTGTAAATAGTGACCCCCACAGGCAGAGAGCTGCGCTTCTTCCACCCCGCAGAGGTTTGTGCGTTATTTGATTACCCTCAGTGTTCAATGCCCCCTGCAGGCAGCCCACCGCCAGCTGAAACGAGACGAGTCAAAGCATTTCCTCGACTTGAGCTGTAACCAAACGTTAAAGGACATAGTCAAAATGTTCACGCTCAGAGGAGGCGTCCTTCTTCAGTCAGAGGGTCGGTGGTTCGTACTCTCTCTGCGCTAACCCTTGGGCAAGACGCGTAGCCCCAACACGGCCCCCAAAGGTGAAAAACAATACTTTGAAAAATACACATCAGCCTAAATAAGCATTGTTTCAGCAGAAGACCTATGGCACTAGAGGCTAAACAGCAGCCACTTTGCTCATTTTCACTTAGTGTTTAGTGAATCCAGTTGTGCGGTGGTTCAGTGACAGCTGGCCAGCACCCAACTGAGCGGGAAAGACATCGTCATCCTCTGTTTGGACACAGGACACGACTGTGATGCAGGTAGGACACCTTTTCACACCCCAGAGGCATGGAAACGCTGATCCAGCTGGATGTGTGAACAGATTCATGCTTTGTGTGATACAATTTAGGCCGATTGATTCGCAGCAGGTGACCGAGGGATGAAGAAGTTCTGCCATGATAATGGCCATGTTAAGTTTTGACGTCCACAACATTGAGAATATCAACTCACCTTCTCTTATGTACATTCTATTTTTAATGTTGGAAAGCAACTTTACCTGAGACTGTTAAGACTTGTATCATTGAGTTTTGGTTAAGAGAAAGCTCAGGGTACAGTAAGTAGAGTAAAAGACAAAAGAAGAAGAGACTTTGACTGCTTTTCCTCACAGTAATAATCGGTGTAATTTGATTTCATTTTCCTGTGTTTATGAATTACAAGATGCTTTGCTTTAGCAGTGTTGGATAAGCAAGTCAGAGAATGAATGCTTGTGTGAATGTTGAGACATTTTAAGATCTGAATTGCAGCTGTCACCCAGTGAAATCCAAAACCTCTTTCCCTCAGCATAATTCATTACGTACATGAAACCTAAAACCACAATGACTTCAGTGCAACATAAACAAAAAGCTGCGCATGCTGTGACCCAAGAAGCAAGGACACATCTCAACAGCGTTTTATTTAAGAGTGATAATTGGAGATTACAGAACCATGGACAGAGACAGCGCAGAAACTGCTGTATACTCCATTTACAAATGTCTTCAGGTCTTTCCCTCCAGGAACTCACTGAACTCGCCAGCTCACATTCTAAAAGACCAGTATTCCAACGACCAACATGTATTCTGCTCCGAGGATTTTTAATGAGATTCCCTGAAAGTTTGACCATATGTCAGTCATCCTGTTTTCAACACGTGAGGTGATCCGATCTTCCACTGCTACGCTGGAGCTCCATTTCCTGATAGTCCAGTACAGCCACTCAGCCCATGAGGTCCAAGTGGTCTATATCTTTGCTTCCATTGGCAGATGAGTTGTTCTAGAGGTCAGGACACAAGTTGTTGGGGAGGTCAAAAATTCATTTGTACTTTTGGCCCAGTGGTCAGACAGGTCTAATAGAGAGGCAGGAGTCCATCAGCTGTCATAGAGGTACAGTGGTCAATGTGCTGTTCTGAGGGGTCCAGCATGCTCAGTAAGTTCTAATGGAGATCCAGAAGATCCTCTGTTATTCTGGAGATTCAGCAGGTAATAAGTTATGTGCTTGAGAGCCAGTGGTCAAGAGTTTTTAAATGTTCTTGTTCCCCATCCAGGAGGTTTTAATGGACCACCAGCATTATTTCGGTCCATGCATCCTGAGGGTCATTTGGTCCACCAGACTGGGCTCTGTTTGCTGGCTGGTATGTCAACCATTTTGGGGGTGTGGGGGCCTTAACGCCACAGGATTGTCTCTAAGATCTAACTGTGTTCATGGAGCCATTTTGCAGCACACAAAGAAACAATGTTGTTGTACATTGAGGATTACCCGAATGTGAACGTGAGAAAACATGTCATGCGTGGTCAATGAGGAGCCCCCCCAGAGATCAAAGGAATCTATCTCTGGTCTGACACGGAAGGAAGACCTTCAGTGCTCCGACTTAGAGATGAGTAATGGGACACTCGACAGAGAGGGTAAATGGCAGTGCTCAACATACATTTAAGCCGGAATAATAGCATTGATGAAACGCGCTAGTGCATCGGAAAGACTGTCATGGATGACATATTAAAGACAGGCCGCCATGACAACAGTTAGTTAATGTACAATGACAACTACACAATCATTTGTATGTGAGTAGTGCCCAAAAAATCCCACAATTCACGTGTTTGCCATCAACACCAGAACATAAAACTGAGCAGCCGAGCAGCTTTTCAAATAGTGACAGTGAAATCTAGTAATAACTAAAGACAAACTTCAGGCCAAAAAAATATTTAGCTATGAAGTCTTGTCAAGAGTTTTTTATTAAGTCCACACCCAAATTACAGTTCACAAACGAAGACATCAGGACTGTGCGTGTTTTGGCCAACAATGACAGCCTACTTATCACTGTGCAAACTCTCTATTTAGTCTTACCATTGTTTTCTATAAGGGCCGAGGACATGATTTCCCTTCTGCCAGTCTTAAGTTAGCGCTTTTTCATTGGGTTGAATTGGACCTGTGTTTTTTCCTGTTATTGTTCATTTATAGAACTGTCTCCTGTCTCGACACCACGGTCTGTTAACTTGGCCGTTTCCTATTTTACATCCTCCCATACATCAATTATGATATTCTGCTGCTGATAGTGAAGGCCTCACACAAAGAAGTCTTTTTTATCATAATACCGCCTTTATTCGTGTATTTTCTACAAACTCCTGACTTTTCTCTCAGATAAGACAGCTATTATTTGATTTGAATGAGGCCTCGGGCGGTGTTTGGTGCGCCTGGCTGTGAGGCTAATTTGTAGACTTCTTCTAGGTGCAGAGCTGTGATGTAATGCGCCTGTAGGTATAAATAGAGACTCATGGCCGCGCAGCGTCCAGATCAATGTCGCTCCGTGCGCTCCAGCCAGTGCGCCTGTCGGTCCGGGAATGAGCGCAACGTGCAGCCGCTCCTCTGTGCCGCTCCGCCCGCCTCACCGCCGGGAGGCTGCTGCGAGAGCCGGACCCGGGATGGGCTCTGTGGCGGCCCTGCGGACCGTCCTGGTGCTGGGCCTGGTGACCGGCTTGGTGGGATGCGCCCCCGGTTTGAACGGCACAGCGGACCGCTGGGAGGCCCTCTACTCGCGGTCCCTGGCGCGGATCCCGGGGGAGAAGCGGGAGGAGGTGCGCCGGGACGGCGACTATCTCGTGGGCATTAAGAGGTTGCGTCGCCTGTATTGTAACGTGGGGATTGGCTTCCACATCCAGGTGTTACCGGACGGTAGAATCACGGGAGTACACAATGAAAATCGTCACAGTAAGTCAATTATTGAATGGATCGACTGTGTGTGGCTCACGACTCGTGTTATTACTTTACGCGTGTCACGCGCGTTCTAACGACGGCTCTTTTGTTTTTTAAGAACAACAAAAGAAAATTGACCAAGAAATATTAGTTTGCGCATGTTTCCAGTCACTGAGAATCAGGACCTGCTGATCCCTTTACTTTCCCACTCCATCCACGCTCGGCATGTTTCATGACATTCAGTCAACAGTAAGAGATGATCCGTGCGTTAGTGGCCACATCTGGACTGGTGTGTAACCAGAGCTCGCTGTGATCCAGACCAGAACCTAAAGTTAGGACACAGTTCATCGACCCATCTGTTAAAAGGGATTAACCCCAGCGGCCCGACAAAGTCCCACCCCGCCTTACATTTGCAGACATGTGGAACAACAAAACAAGAGATGTTCCTCCATGCCGAGCGTAGTCCCTGTCATCCCTGTCGGCCCTGTCGGTGAGGGATGTTCCCACAGCCGACCGGGGGTTGACAGGCTGCCCTGGAGAACTCAAAGCATGTTGGGGTTTTCTTGTGCTGCCTTTGTACTATTTTGAGACAAGGCACAAAGATTCAGGAAGATACATTACCAAAAAAAATCTGCGTGGAATTTAGGTTCCTGTAAAGCATTTCACGCAGTTAGCAGGGAGACACACATTGTGCCGAATGCAGCAGCTTATCAAGGCCAAGTGATGAAATGAGTGAGCCCTCAAACATCTCAACATGTAATACGATTTACCTCTGCAGACGTATGAAGGAACGCGACGGGGACGGACAGGATGGTTTTTACAAACATCAGAGGAATTAGATGTATTTTTGTGGCGTCTGAATTACAATTAACTTAAATCCCAGAGATAAATGTTTAAACCCAGTTAAGGACTTCTGACTACCAACCCTAATAAGGTTGAAACCCAAATGTATCTATTTGTGTTGCTGAGCATGAAAGGTGTAAAATGTTTGGACTAATCGGCATTCACGGCTTAATTTGGCTTCCTGATGAGTATCCAGCTCCTGTTACACATGATGTCAGTGTCTCCGTGTGGTGTGGCTCAGTGTGTGATGTGCTTCCCCAAAGGTGTGCTGCAGATCTCTCCGGTGGAGAGAGGAGTGGTGACTCTGCTGGGCGTTCGCAGCAGTCTCTTTGTGGCCATGAACCGGAGAGGGAAGCTCTACGGATCTGTGAGTGTGCGAACACCGAGGGCGACTTTCACACCGTGCATTTCTTTACTGTCATTGAGTAACTAACAATACTAGAACATGCATATGAAATCATTTTCCTAACCCTTCCAAAGAGTTCAATGGTTAAACTTAAATCTCAGATAAGAAATAGGGATTAAGGTGGCGCTCAGGAGCAGGTTGCACCACTTCTTGTTGGAACCAGCAAGTGTTGATTAGATGTTAATGTGGAAATACATTAATTGTTAAGTAGTGAAATGAGAATGAGTTGAACCACAGAAAGTTCCACAAGGAGAGAAGTTAATACCAAATATTGTAGCTGTTGCTTGTGCAATGGGAAGATGATGCATTAGCTTGCTAATTCATATATTTACCTCAGTAACACAATATATAACAAACGAAGAAGATGAATGTCAATAAGCTAAAAATATAGAAAGCAGATATCTCCCTCTAACATTAAATCTAAACTTCTAAATACTACAAACTCACAGACATTGCATCACGTATGCTGACATACAGTGTAATAAAAGTAGGGCCGGGCAAAATGAATGCGTTATTACTGAATATAACGTTAACGTTATTACTGAATATAATGTTAACATATTCATTAATTAACGGCAAAAATGATTATTATTTTTTTGTTTTATCTAATCATTTTATTTTAGTAGCGCAGTTTTTTTTAATTATTTTTATTTTGGAAGTCCGTTGCTCACTGGGTATGACTACACATGTGGACAAACAAGCCGGGGGGTTGTTGGGTCATTATTTGCTTAGGAGGGGCGTTGTCATGGGCCTCAACCAATGAAATCATTTGGGGGCGGGCCTAATCACAATTACCTGCATCACCGAAAGACTGCGTTTCGCCCTCGCCCGACTGAGGTTCTGCAAAGGAAATCCAGTACAAACATGCACTTTACAGACTGAAAGGTCTGTGAAGTGACCTCGTCCCTCTAACCGGGACACGATCAGGGAACCTGACCCTAAAGAGATGCCTGCTGCTGCCGTGCACAGGTTAGGCCGGCGCTGTAACTCATGGTGCTGGGATCTAAATGAGGCCTCCAAATGAAAACTCAACCAGATTCCCACATCACATGCGATTATTCCACTTCCTGAGAGAAAATAATGCCACCAGAGCCTGGTGTCCCGAGTCCTGCCTCATTCACATCATTCATCATTTGACAATCAAATATTGGGTCAAAGTCTCTGACTGAAACGACTGCTGTACAATAGCTTCGTGGTAAGAAACAAAGCAATTGTTTGATAGTAATCACAAAGAACAATACGGAAATGAACGCCCCCCCCCCCCACACACGTACAAATGTCCCGGGATCCCTGTTTTGTCTCTGCCTTCAAACAATCGTCATTTTGAAACGGTCTCTACAGCGTCCGTCTCCCTCTCTTCTCTTTCAGTCACAGTACAACAACGAGTGCAAGTTCAGAGAGAAGCTCCTCGCCAACAACTACAACGCCTACGAGTCGGCGGCCTACCCGAGGATGTACATCGGCCTGAGTAAGAACGGCAAAACAAAAAGAGGAAACCGAGTGTCACCCGCCATGACGGTGACACATTTCTTGCCAAGAATCTAGTGGCTTCATAAATAGACTTCACCTCGATATGGAGACAGAGGGGGGAGGGGCACTTTCACTTCTGCAAGTGTACAACACGTCTTTAGCGCTGTATATATTCATTTTTTTATTTATGTCTAACCATTTGTAAAGTTAAGGAGGGGGGGGGGGTCAAAGAGACGAAACATGTAATTCATGTTGTCATTCTCTAACTTATCAGTTATCTGCTGCTGCTGAAGGGAATCCTTTCCACCGACGTGGGTTTTTAACTTTGCACTGATATGTGGAAATATGTTTTTTTAAACGTTTGACTAAACGTGAGCTTTCTGAGCCTAAAAGATTTAGACTAAATATTAAATGAGTGTGTTTGGTGTTGGAGGTGCCGAAGGCTCCGGCTCTTTGCTGTGGCACTGGAGCCTGATTGAAAAGAGAGGGGGGGGGGGGGCTGGAAGGAGACGAAGAACCCCCACCACCTCCACTGGTCTGTTTATAGATCTGCAGGGGGCTGGGGGTGGGGGTGGGGCTTGAACTCTGAACTTTGCTGCTGTCAATCAGTCAGACCTATAGGACAGTTAGAGAGCGGCATCCTCTTCGGGGAATTTAGGCGTTTGGCGGCGAGGTCAAATAGCTGACATGCGATGGAAACGCGGCAGCCTTGACTGAGGAACCGGATCATTCTTTGTGTCCCGTCATGTCCGACTGTCAGGTAGCGGCTGCACTGGGACAAGTTGGTCTGCCGGGGAGGACGGGGGACAGCGGCACGCCCGGGACAGTTGAACCACGCTGCTGCTGCTGGCGCGCCAAACGTTGTCTCCCCTAGACACCGTCGTTCAACTCAGCATCCAACCTTCTCTCAAGGTCATACTGTTCATCTTTGGATAGAAGATGTTTCGATATTACTCCTACAACTGAAAGTTCTGACTCAGTCCAGTAACAGATGAACCTTTTGCTGCTGTGATTAAATAACAGCCAGAAAGAAGCAGATAGCAATAAACGTGTGATCTGATCTCAGTACCTAGAAGCAGAACCTGGTGTCAGGTTGTAAATGCGTCTCCCAGGCTACACATCCGTGTCGTTCACTAAGTGCGTTTCCCCTGCAGTCATTTCCTCGTGCAGTGATGAACAACAACACACTCAGGATAAAATAAGCTCATTCGGTCAAGGACACAAAGTTTGGCACAGTTCCGGTACAAATAGTTACCAATTCCCCTCTTTTACTAAACCTGCTTTGGACTTGCGTTTAACCTCGTCCAGCACGCGCTCAGCGTAGTGTACAAGTGTCCCCTTGGTCTCCATCTGTCTCTGCTGTAGGAGACATGTCGTCCTAGTTGCGCCTTGTCACGTTCTGGCTATCTTTACCCTGCAATTCCCTTTTAGAGTGGATAATCACGGGAGAAACATTTACACACAGCTGTTGGACTGGACTATATGCTACGACCAGTAACTCTATATTTTCTTTATATATTTTGTAAATATAACCTCAAAGTAACTGACGGTGCTGGTATTCCCTGCGGGGGGAGCACAGTCTTAAACCAGCCGAGCTGGCTGGAAGTTGCTGTCTGGAGGTAAGAGGTGCGTTTGATTTGTCTCGCTTTGGTGCAATTGATGAATAAATGTACTGATGATCAACAAGCCATGTCAACAGATGGACCGGTGACCTTTGAACTGTTTTTTATTCTTTACTATGCAATCATTTTTTCTTATTCAGACTTTAATCCAAGAGGTTTGAAATCTCAGCTTCCACATTCCACAAAACGTGGTTGTATTGTAACCAGCTCCGCTCCTGCTGGGATCCTGTGTTTCTCTCTGCTAAGCGAGCGTGCCTCGAGTGGAAGTCATGATGCATTAGAGCGGAGCGCTGCAGCGCTACGTATGAAGTTGCAAATAGTTCAAGCAAATATCATGCAAACGGTGGCTGTAGTTGCTTTAGGCTACGATCCCTGCGCATCAGCATGAGAGGGGAGACGGAACCAAGCCAAACAGACTACAGCGAGGTACTCGTCAAATGCCAGGCCCTGTCTGCTGGTCACGCGGCGTCTCCTGTTACAGGCCGTCTGTTTAAATCTCCCCCCGGACGTTGCGGCTGGTCAGCAGGGATGCACGCAGGTATACTGGTGTGTGTTCCTGCGTGCTCACAGCTGTGCTCAGTCTTCTCATGTATCACTGCTTTGCATTGTGGCCATCGTGTTCACAGTGGAATACCTTTCTGCCCTGTGCCACTGATCCAGGGCCAGTCCTCTACTCCAGCTGCTCATTTGGTTATTCAGCTACAGTCAAAGTGAGGCCAATTCCTAAAGTTCCTGAAGTCTGCAGTGTGTTTGGGCGTCCCCTCCACATACAGGGGGGCAGAGGCTGCTGACCAGTAGGACCAGTACAGAAAGGCAGTCCTTGATTTTATTATCCTGCATATATACGTGTGTGTGTGTGTGTGTGTGTACACTGTACGTGATGTGACCATTTTGCAGTGAAATGGGTGGTGTTTCAGAAAGTGAGCCTGGAGTTACAGGACTTGCTGATGTGATACTGTACTATCTATAAGTCCTGTGGTCTTATGACAATTTGTTATCAACTGTTTTTATTAGTTGTCCTGTAGTTTTATCCAGGGCCTCATAAAATGTCCACTGTATGTGCTGTGCACATGGCTTAGTCAAAGGTGAGCTGACAATAAAATCCTGCTCAAATGAAAGTGAGACGTGTTCTTATCTGTGCTTTTCTCATGAGCTTATCTTTTGTCCTTCACTTCTTTTTCAATTAAAATATATGTCTTTCCCGCAGTGTATTCCTTATGTAATGCGACATATTGCCTGTTGTAAATAAATAATTAAATAAATACCGCTTTTGCTTCGGAGGTGCATGAAGAGATTATCTGTGTGGGACATAAACACTTCTACCGCATTTCCGCCTCGACAACAACCTCGTTGAAGCTCATTCTCTGGTGGACCTCAAAGGACACTTTGAAGATCCGAGGTAAATCCTCGTCGCCTTGCCGTGGACACAAAGTCAATCAAGTGGTGTTTGTGAACGGCAGACAGGGAACACATCCACCTACACATGGGTTCTTGTGTGTTAGATGTTTTGTTAATCCCTCCCTTTGCACTCGGCGGATGTTTTATATGTCTTAATTAAACCCTGTCAGCGCCTTCAGTTACAGGAATGATGGTGCTGTTGAAGCAGCGGGGGAACTCTCGCATGTTAGAAATGTCCCTGATGACATCAGTTAGCAGTAAACAAGCAGGAGAGCTGTGAGGAGCAGCAGCTTCCCTCCCGTTCACTCCAATCTCACATCTGCTGCAGATGCTCACAGTGGGATGGACGACTTTGTTCAGGAGATCAAGGTGTTGAGCACATCTGACAACGTGGCCCCCCGGGTGAGGGGGGTTCGCCCCATCCTAGATCGCCTGCACACGTCTTCCGGGTCTCTTCCAAAAGAGACGTCTTTTAGGCCTTTTTATGACATAAAAGAAAACTATTGCAGGTTTTTATCTAATAAATGACTAAATTGATGAAGGCAACTTAGACCCAAATGAATTAACTTGTAACCAGTGAAACTAAATCAACCTTAGAATCTGCAGCCTTTGGTTTTACACCTCCAGTGGGATTCTCTGTTAAACCTCATTGTAATCAGCTGAGAATGAAATGCTCTGCTTTTCTTTATCGGTCTGGCATTTTCTGTAGCTGCCTGGCACTTTGATGTGTGTCTCCTGCAATGTGACAGGTGTCCACACAGCTTCCACGTATATGTATTTCTGTACCTCCATGGAGCTGCAGCCAAGCCTATAACAGGCCACAGCCTTAAAATGACCGAAGCCGGGCTGGCCTGGTTAAAGACTGCTTCCTGCTTCCTGGTGTCTGCGAGCTGGACAGCGCACACACAACACTAACCCTGACCCCCACACACACACCTGTAGCATGAAAAGCGTGAGGCTTTTAAGCCGCGCAGTTTGTGAGAGAAGAGAGGATGTTGGCAACGTCCGTGGCAACAGAAAGAAGTGATTCAACGTCCATAAACACACAGAAGGGTGAGGAGATTTCAAGTCAAGTGCGTCCCAGCTCGCACACACAGACATACACAGAAACACTCACTGGCTGATTATCCTGATGCTTTATTCAATGGAGAGGAACAGCAGAGCTCCATAGTCTACCTTTTCCTTCAGACAAGTGTGCACCGGCCTGAGAGCGTCATTTATCTATAAATTAGAGCCTACAAGGAAAGAATGGCGTTGAAGTAGCCGGGGGGGTCCTGGATAGTCCAGAGGCAAATCAGGGGCTTTAACTGCAGCATTCAAACGTCTTTAAATGTCGTACTCATCTGTCCGACTGGACACCTGCTGCTGCACATTGGACTCAAACTCACTGTCCAAACAACCAGCTACACAAATACATAAATGTGCATTTCCCCAACCAATTGTGATGTCATTCAGTCAGTTCGGGCCAAGTTTTATCCATCTGAGCGCCCAGGTTGAGCTGCTCCTGAAACAGCCCGACACTAAACCTGTTCCTGTCAAGCAATGTTTTTAACATGCAAATGAGATGGTGGCCGGTAGTTTGGCACATTTATTCACATCAAAATACAATAAGTTCTTACACTAACTGCCAAAATAGAGCACAGTCAACTTTAATAAAGTTTACTTTGTACTGTTACTGAAATGTAAAAGTCAGACGGCCTTGCATGCATTAAAATGCTCCTACTGTTCATGAGAACTCATTGGACTAGATTTGTACTTTTTCTTAATATCCAACATTTCATTCCACTTAAAAGCACATCGCTGTCTGTGTCAGTGGGTACTTATCATCAAAAAACATGATTAAAACCCAAATATTAAAGAGAACGCACCTTAGGAACCATTCAAACTATGTACTGACAACTGGCAAGTGAGGAATTCTGGAGGAAACAATTTATTGCTTGAGCAGACAGCTCCCAAACACGGCATTTTACTGAGGCAACATGAACATTTGAGACGTGGGACTCCTTTTGTTTAAGGTCCCATACTCACAAATAGATAGTTCATTACAAAGAAGGTGTAAGTGCTGTGAGAATACAGTGAAAGTACCAAAAAACTCAACCCACAGTGAAATGCACACGGCCCCCATTCACTGTGTCAGTAAATAAGCCTTACAGTTGTAATGTAACAACTATACAATATAGGCTACTTCAAGAGTTTAAAAAGCTATTGTTTTGCTGTTGGTATAAATGTTGGCAGTTAACGGCAGCAGACTGGCATCACACTGCACACCCTCCAATCACAAAAAAGCTCAAACTCTACTAGACTAGAAAAGATACATACCGTCCATTTATCAACCACTCTGAGTTCATTCCACCACTTAGGAGACAGGACAACAGTCAGGGTTTAGTTCTCTGTACTGCAGCAACAGGCAGATTGGCAGATCAGAGCAGAGTGAGCGCGCAGGGATGTTTGACCACGTTCTGGATGTAGACTGGACGGTACGCAAGTACCAATGTCTTGAAGGGGATGCGAGCAGCCACTGGTGACCAGTGGAGGGAGCGGAGGAGCACAGTGGTGTGGCTGAATTTGGTTAGGTTGAAGACAAGTCAAGCATTCCCTGATGAGCTGCAGAGGTGTGACGCCATCGGCAGGTAGACCGTCTAAGAGGGAGTTAAAATAGTTAAGCTGTGAGATGAGCAGAGCCTGTACCAGAACCTGCCTCCCTGTCTGAGTGAGAAGAGGAACAGGAATGTGTTGTTGCTGAATGTTGGCAGTGAGGGAAGGTTGTGGGATGGGGTCAGGACAGAGTTGTCAAAGGTAACGGTGAGGGTGTTGGAGAGTCTTTCTCTAGAAGGAGAAGACGTTCAGTCATATCAAGGTTAATCATTGCGTGGTGTGCAGCCATCTACTGAGAGACGGCAGTCAAACAGGCAGAGGTTTCAGGTTGAGGCAGTTGATCTACAAAGAGAAGAGAAGGGGACCCAGGACAGAGCCTTGGGGGACGCGTGTGGTGGGAGGACAAGGTTTAGACATAGATCTTCTCCCAAGTAAATGGTAAATGGACTGTACTTGTACAGCGCTCTTCTAGTCTTCCGACCACTCAAAGCGCTTTAACACTACATGACATCATTCACACCCATTCACACCCATTCATACACTGATGACAGGAGAACCACACACAGTGACACCTGCCCATCAGTCACTAACATTCACACACTGTAGTCACAGCTACAGGAGCCATGTTGGGTTAAGTGTCTTGCCCAAGGACACATTGACATGCGGCTCAGCAGAGCCTGGGATCAAACCGACAACCCTCTGATTGGAGGACGACCTGCTCCCCACTCACCCACAGTCGCCTCCGAGTCACTTGGTAAGTGTGCTCGTTGAGGTAGGATGAGAGAAGGGAGAGAGCAGAGGCCGAGACGCAGTTCCTGAAGGGAGGAAATAAGGATCTGGTGGTTCACTGGGTCATATGCAGCAGAAAGGTGGAGAAGGTCATGGACAGAGGAGAGAGAGGCAGTGTGAAGTTGCTCACAGACAGCGAGGAGAGCAGTCTCTGTTGAGTGGCCGGCCTTGAAGCCTGATTGGTGAAGAGAGAAGGAGTCAGTTGGAGGGAGGGCTGAGAGGGAGCGAATGTTACGACAGACAGAGTCAGCTGATGTGTCCCGGAGAGAGAAGCAGAGCGAAAGAGACAAAGTGGTCAGAGACATGAAGCGGTCACCACAAGGTGCTGCCGGCTTTGTGAGTAGGAGGGAAAGGAGTGAGTGAGCGAGCAAATACATATAGAGATATTTACCCTCTCGCAGAACGTGAACGCGAGGTTAGTCTCCAAGGTGTTTTCGCTGTTGTTCTTTTTGACAGTAAGGGGGCGGAGCCAGTCACCATGGTCTCTACACCTGATTGGTTACAAACCCCGTCTTTGGATTGGGTGGAGTGATGCATTCACACAACTATAGAAGCCCATTTCTGCACTACAGAAAAGGTCTCAGTGACAGCAAGGAAGTCAAGCGATTGCTGGACACCAAAGCCGGAAATGAAGTCCGTCGACTGGCAGTTCCAAAGGCCGCCTGAGACAAGGTGTCGGTGTGTGAGAGCGGGTGGGATAGATAGATAGATACCTGAAAAGGTTGGCTTGTTATTTCATAACAAAGACAAAGTGGCCGTTTGTCAGTTTGTTGTTGTTGTAAAACAACAGCTTCTTTCCGGTGTCTTGGAAAGTGCTCATGACTCACCGGCTACTGAAAGGTCACGGACATCTCCAGGATGATGTGCCTGGAACGCCGACGGGTCCGGAACCTGGTCAAAATGAACTTGATCAAATTGATTATCATTTCTTGTAATTAAGTCCCCCTTTGACCCCTGAGGTGCAGCATTTTCTGTAAAGCGTCACTACTGCCCTCTGCTGGCGTGAGTTCATTAAAGCCACACAGGACATTGACCTCTGGTCATGGATTATGGAGGTTACACGATCATACTAATGGGTCACAATATCATGTCTAAAATAGAAGCCTTGCTAATCCTGTGGGTGTTTGGTATTATGATTTTCCTATTCACATGAATGGCGCTATGGTAGAAAACAACGATTACGAATCAGGCTTGGATCACCTGATTTGATATCCGTGGGAGATTTTGACTCTGTGAGGACATTCCAGTGACAGAAATCAGCGTCAGTGTGTGACCACATAAACCGGGGGCTTCCACGGCTGCAACATTTGGTATTCTGTCACCTGAAACAGCCCCACCAGCATTACGAGGCAGCCGTGCCTCTCAAATGTCAGCGGGGCGACTCCCGTAGAGTCAGTCTGCATCCGTCTGTCCGCAAGTGAAACAGCCCAACAGCTCAGTGACATCGGTGTCGTGGTGACTTCTTAGGAAGAGGAATTGTTCTGTCTTAGAGTTGCATCTTAATCAAGCTAAAAGGAGGCCGATGAAGGTCCATGTCCTCGGGCTTTGTGGAGACGGACCTGAGCAGAGACACACGCAGCTCTTGTCTCCACCATCTCTCCAGATAAGACAGAATTCATCAGAGGCGACTGTGGAGGACAGCAGGAAAAACGTGTGTCATAGGCCCTTTGAGGAACTCGATAGAACTTTGTGTTGATGGTAAAACGTGCTACATCAATACAATCGTGTCAAAGGAAGCTTTTCAACACATCAGGTCATTTTTAACAGAAGCCAGAGACACGAGGCCACAGAGGCTCACTGTGTAGCATCTTCTACGGGCTTTTTGGCCAATATTTGGATGGACGGTGGGAATTACATGAGGTACAAACTCAACAAAACTATACACGATGTACTGATCAGAATGATGTTATAGATGATACATTATATAATATAAATTGTCTCACTTGTAAAGGGTAGGTTAGTCAATGTGAAACAACTTAAATCTAAATTTAGAAACTGAAAAAAACTAGAACCACGGAGATAAAGATGACTCTTCTGCACTGAAACACTTGTCTGTGTGGCAAAGCTTTAGGACACTGAGGTGTGTATCTATTGAGCTTTCCACTTCCCCTGTTGTACCTCTGTTCATTACTTTTCTTGTGTTCAAGCACTAGAAAACAATGAATTCCTGTCATCCATCCTGCCTGTTTGAGGCTGCCACCTAGCGACAGAAGCTGACCTCTTCTTTTAGCACTTGTCAATGTGCCATTTTTCATAACACAGACAAAATCAATTCACCAACCTTGTGGTGAATTGTGATGTTTGTTCTTGAACTCTTGCGTAAATGTGAGAGGAAGCACAGGCCAATGCGCGATAAGAGCGGAAAGGAGTGTGTTACTCAGTGTGCAGTGACCTAGTCTCACAGTTCCGCTTGGCTTAGGACCCATCTGCAGACTTTACCCTCTCCACAAATAAAAAAAGTGGTGGTGTAAAAGATGCATATTTGGTGTCATTATGTCTCCATAAATATATATAATACTACTTAACTACTACTAGTACGACCACTACTATGTCTACTAATACACACGGCGCTACCACAGCAGCCTACTAGTGCATTGTTTAATGTGTGTGAGATGCACCTCGCCTAGTCTTGCTCCTACTAACAGTGCAGCGTAATTTATAAGCTCATCACCTTTGGGGGGAGCAGAACTAGTACATCTACACAGTCTACACAGACTCTCAACATGATAAAGTGTGAGGCTCATTGGCACTGCAGAGAGGTTCTCATCCCCAGCAGGACCCCCGGGGAGCAGCAGGTGAAGCCACGTGTGTTCACAGCTCACGCCAAATGCATAACAGGGTAGAGTCCTTTGCTCACATGCAGACGACGCGGTTATGAATCTGACCACATCCTTAGTGTCTTCTGGCTCACACACACGGCGGGGGCTCGGACGGCCAATGGAGAGCTATGATTCCGTTGGATGTGGTTCAGGGGTGTGTTGTGGGCTGCTTCGTGGAACTGGCTTTGGGAAAGAGGGTTATCTGCTGCTGATAAGGGCCACATTTAAAAGACTGGGCCAGGAGGAGACTAGATGATTCGCCTCTGCCTGCCGGAGGGAGCAGCGACTCACACAGCCTCTGAGCAGCCATGCTGCTGCTGCTGGTCCCCGCGTACGTTGCCAGTGTGTTTTTAGCTCTCGGGGTTGTTTGCTTGCCCCTAACAGATCAGGGTCTCCACATGGCCGACGACTGGGGCCAGTCGGTCCGACTCAAGCACCTGTACGCCGCCAGCCCGGGACTCCACCTGCTGATCGGGGAGGATGGTCGGATCCAAGGCTCGGCGCAGCAAAGCCCCTACAGTAAGTCCAGCACGTTAAGATGAGCGCAGGACGCTTGGAGGCTTTTTCACACCGATGGTCCTTTGACCTGCAGGCCTGCTGGAGATCAGTGCAGTGGATCCGGGCTGTGTGGTCATCAGAGGAGTAGCAACCGCACGGTTTCTCTGCATCGAAGGCGATGGAAGACTGTACTCATCGGTGAGGACAACCTGCCGTCTGTCTGCGTTTACTTTTGTTATTAACCATCTGGAATTACGTTTAAAGCTGCACGAGTCATTATTCATCCCAAAAAGAATGAATTTCTTTCTCTCTTCTTTCTCTGAGGAGTGCAAATTGAGTCTATTATTACACTGCAGAGTGATGATGGAGACATATTTTGTTAAATTGGTTAAACTATCTGTTGTAGGCTACAATCAATCATACAAAAAACATTAAACGGCCAACATCAAACAAATCAAACTAATAATCACTTTTGTCAAATAATGCATTTTGCAAAATAGTTGTATCCCATGAGTCCATACTGACCGATGGGCCCCACCTTTCAGCCAGTACCGTTTCCTCTGGTAGCTGCAGCGCTCACGTTAGCCTCAGGCGTCCAGCGGCTTCCTGCTCCGGTGCTAGCATGTCGTACAAGAGCGGATCAGCTACTTTGTGTGTGCGTGCACGGCGCTGCGCACATGTCAGATGTGTGTCGGTTGTTTTGATCTCTGTGCGATCATAAATAAGCATATAGTCCATTTTCAGGCCACACCTATCTACTCACGCAATGAGATTTAACCTCACAGTGTCACTCATTTTGGAGCTTCCTCGTATGTTGTTGATCAACTTCTATGTTCACAAATGCCAGTCAGTCATTCATTGAAACAGACGGACAGTTCATCAACCTTTGTCCATGCGGCGCAGGGTACGATGTGTTTGCAAAGGGAAAAAGCTGAATGAAAAGGCCCAGCAGCAGGAATAACAACCTTGGCCTCTGACTGTCTCTGTGTGGTCAAAGTAAACAGCCGTCGAAGAACTCGCAGCTCCTTTTTTAATAAAAACGGCCTTGTATCTCAAAACGCCATTGATTTAAATCTTAAATCTTAAATGTTTTGCAACCAGGGCGACTTTCTAACCTGTGTTCATGGTTTGGCTGTAACAAAACCACGACCGGCTCTGGAGGGAAGAAGCGCCGTGACGTCAGAAACTTGGTGCAATATTGATCCCAAGTTTGCAACATTAGTCAACATCACACGCTGCTGGACCACAAGTTGTGCTGAATGAGAAAAGGGCCTTTTGTTACTGGTGCATTTGTAAGAGGAGGAATGTGTGATTTATTCAGGGAACACATAGTATTGCTTTGAATATTTCACTCTGGGATTTATTGTGAAAGTTACAATTCATCCCAAACAGAGCCCTTGGTCTCACGTGTTCCTGGGCTCATTTCCTCACAGCCAAGTGTCCTGCTCATCAAGCTCACAACCTGTACATCTTTTTATGTGGACATGTCCCATGGCTTGCAGGACACCTACAGCAGAGACGACTGCACCTTCAGGGAGCAGATCCTCCCGGACGGCTACAGCGTCTACGTCTCCCATGGACACGGGGCCCTGCTCAGCCTGGGGAACCACAGGCAGAGGCTGCAGGGTCGAGACCACGGCGTGCCGGCTCTGGCCCAGTTCCTCCCGAGGGTCAGCACCATGGATCAGGCCTCGGCCCCCGACGCGCCCGGGCAGACCGCCACCGAGACGGAAGAGCCCGTGGACTCGTTTGGAAAGCTCTCTCAGATCATTCACAGTCCCAGCTTCCACGAGAGATGAGCCCGTTGCTCTGGGGCTCCACGGAGACCCGGGCTGTCAAACCCGCTTCAGCTTCGGGCCAGATCCGGCCCACTCTGATCCAAGGGGGGAGGGGGAGGTGACCGGTAAACGGTGCGGCCGACGGGGGACTGGACACAATACAAGCGCAGTGTGTGCGCAGGAGAACGACACCAGCAGTATAATATATAATGTTGTATTCTGTCACTTTCCATTTATTGAGCAAACAGCCAGGGATCTCGTTCCTCCTCCCCAACGCGAGCGGCGGGGAATAAAGACACGCTAACGTCTACGAGTAGCGCCCACGGGAAGTCAGTCCACCTTCGGTCACGGAGGCCGATCAGCGGGCGGAGTGGCACCAGCAGGCCGACGCGCTGCAGACGTGTCTGCCGTCTCACACGCTGCCTGTGGACAGGAAGAGGAAGACGCTGTCCTACCAGCAGATGAGGATCAGCTCGTAGTGAAATGCATTAAAAGATGAATACTATTCCACCCCAGACTTAAAGGGTTTGTCCTCCAGTGCAGTAGTTTGCCTGTAAAGAGGTGCAGTGTGATTCATGAACGCACTGTTGCATCTTCTGTTTGAGTGATGTTTCTAGTCACATGTAAAGCAACAATATGCATTTGTTGATATATTTCGAATAAAGTCTTCAAAGCATTCTAAGAACAGCATGTAATGAATACCTATCACCTTAGGATGCAAATAGCAAATATGATTACGAGACATGTGATTACATGCATTTGTTTTCTTATAAATATTTGGGTGATTTAAAGGTCACAACTGGACTCATATAAACACGACTTCTATAAATGTCAGACCTGCACACAGATCCCCGCGCGGGGGGAGGACAGAGTGGCAGACGAGCTCTGAGGGTCCAAACAAGTTGGACATTTTGGCTTCGACTATAACATCTTCCGGATTTGGCACAAAGTGTTCTGTGACTACGATATGTGAGGACAGCGAGACACTGTAATGGGTGAGGGGGACAAACGAAGGGAGCTGGATAAAGATAAAGATAAAGGTAACAGTTGTAGCAAGAGATTGTGATGAAACAGCTTAACCCCATTGAGCCTGACAATGAGTGGTCTACATATGCTGAATACAAACAGTAAACTATCTTTTGTGAACCAATAAGTTGCGCAGCTGAGAGACGGCTGCTGTCTCTGGCCCCGCCCCTCTGTGACGCGGCGCTGGGTGCGGACATTGAAGGCAGCGTTAAAGTCACATGACAGGCCAACCTCTCCGGCTGATCGGACACACAGCTAATAATCATGGTAAGCGGTTCTCCACATAAACCGGCTGTCTGACCTGACCGCCCGTCAGTGTTTCTTCTGGCTCTTCATTAAATGTGTAACGTTACCGTGACGTGTGTTAAATGGGGCTGGTTAGTGAGCGGCGCTCAGGCTAGCTCGGCTAGCAAGCTGCAGCGGATGGCCGGCTAACGTCAGTAGCTAACGTTAGCTGTACTACATCCACCATGTCCTTAAAGTCCGTGTCCGGTGTTGGTTCAACGAGCCAGCGAGTGTGACGTTGTCCTCTAATGGTCGGGACATCCCGGGTGACAGTGTGAAGGCTAATGCTAACTGTTGTTAGCCTCTTCCGCTCGCTGGCTCGTAGCACAGCTAACGGCTAACAGCTAACGTTAGCGGGATGTTGTGGCCTGAGCTCGTTTCCGCGTCACATAAACAGAAGTCGTGTCAGCTGGTCAGCCAGCATATATGTCGTCCCCCACATGTATGTTCCTACACACAGTCACTACTGTCAGTCCTGCCGCTCCGCGAGCCTTTAGCTAACATAAGCTAATGCTACATTAGATACATCCGATCTCATTGAAGGCAATTGGCATTGAGCAAAGCACTCGCCTCATTTTGGGAAGAGGGTCCTGTTCTTGATTCACTTCGATGGCCTGTGACCCCCGGAGGGCCCTGAGACGACCGGGACACGGCGCTGAGGAGGACAGTCCACCGGGTCCACTGAGGAACCGGATACAGAACATGACATAACACTGGTTATTCGCCTCTGTATAAACACACGTAGTAGTTCGTAAATGAAGCTGTGATTTCAATGGTTTGTCTTCCCGATGTCTTGGTCCTCCAGCCAACCTCCCAGCAGTCTCCCCAGGACGAGCAGGAGAAGCTTCTCGATGAAGCGGTGCAGGCCGTCAAGGTCCAGTCGTTCCAGATGAAGCGATGTCTGGTAGGGAGGCATGTTATAATAGTTCGAACCATTTTGATCTCCACCTTGAGCCTAGAATACATGAGTTTTCTTAAAGAAACCAGATTCCTTATCTGTTGCCATTTGCTACGTTACCTTGCAAATCAATATTCAGTCACAAGTGCACGCAGATAGCAGCATTTGTTCATACTGTGATGTAGCAATAACTGCCACCGCACACCACCCGTCTTCTCCGTCTGGACCCGACGTCACAGCACTCAACGGTGCTACAGAGGCCTCAGCTCGCACTACGAGCAACAACCGCCGATGAAGCATGTTTGGATTCCTTCAGAAAGGGAAGCGTCCTCACAAAAGGAGCGGCGAGCGCTTGCAGACACAGGACTGTGTGCGTGTCTGAAGTGGTCGCTGCCCTGTTGTGTTTGTGTTCTCAGGGAAACACACAGTGTAGCAAACATATAGCCTTATGTATACTTCATGGATAGATCTGACTACCTCCCCTTTCTAGTCACAGCACAGTATGTCAGCAATGTGCTACCGTCTGCAACTTTGTATCACGTGAATGTCCAACATCTGGCCTGCAGGACAAAAACAAGCTGATGGATGCCCTGAAGCACGCGTCCAACATGCTGGGTGAGCTGAGGACCTCCATGCTTTCTCCAAAGAGCTACTACGAGCTCTGTATCCTTTTACAGTTGTAAAGTTCAGGCGTCTTTTACCTTACAGGTCATTTAGCTGACGCTTTTATCCAAAGCGACTTACGTTTCATTTTTAACCCATGGCTTTTTTTACATTTTGCCCGGGGAGCAATTAGGGGTTGGGTGTCTTGCTCAGGGATACTTCCACATGGGGCAGCCGGGACTCGAACCGCCAACCTCCCTGTTCCCTGCGCCACGTCTTCACCCTGAGAGGCAGTTGAAGTGCTCCATAACTCGTCGTATGCGCCTTGAGATCTCATCTTGGTGCCTTTTTTGTTGATGACTGAAGCACTATTCGAATGTCTTTTGTTGAAGAAATGAGAAAGAAACTAATCCGATCTTTTATGGTATCTGTGTATCCAAACGTGGAGCCAACGTGTAAAATCCCTGTTCCCTAGTGGATCTACAGGTGGTGCTGCACGCGGAGGCCCGTGTAGCGCTGTGCCTCAATGCGTACTGACGGAGGACTGCAGCAGAAGCTCCATTAGCTCCGCCCCCCTTCAGGCCGCAGAGAGTCGACCCGTGTTGGGTCGTGTCTGTTAGGGGGAACCCAACACGGGACACATCAGTGTCCCTCCACAGCTCATGAGCTACTCTGCTGCACAATAGATTGATTGTCCACTTGTGGCTGCCTGCTGAAGGACCTGTTAAACACCTAAACCCCCCCCATCCATACTCGTCTTAGTACCTCTGGACCCCTTGTTTCTGGACGGTGTGTTTTGCTAATGGCAGACCAGCTCACCATGCTTGAGTTAGTGACTTTACCTTTCATGTGTCAGTGTAACGTTGCGTCATGGCTTGTTTTTGAGTTGAACATGAAGTCTATTGGACAGTGCTTTTAAAGTGTCATCAAATGGTACAATACAGCTGCTGTGGGTTTGCACTGGTCCCTAACACTCTCCTTAGACATGGCCATCTCTGACGAACTCCACTACCTAGAGGTGTATCTGACTGACGAGTTTGCCAAAGGACGCAAGGTGGCAGACCTCTATGAGCTGGTCCAGTATGCAGGCAACATCATCCCCAGACTGTGAGTACCACCGCACAGCAGAACCGTGTTCACTCAGCACTGACTGAAAGGTCCCCTGCTGGGGGACAAACCGCCCCAGCCCGTCTCTGGGCTGCCGGCATGGGGGGCCGTTGTGTACACAAAGTGACAGAAACAACTTCCTTCTCCCCGCTTTTATTACAAAGTAGTTTCATTTCCAAGCAGATCACCTCATGCTATCGTGAGCTGTTTTGTTTAAGTTGTGCTTTTATTGTGAAAGGTAAAGAAGGCGGGCTTGCTGCTGTGATGCACCTCCATTAGCAAACTGTCTCTGTGCACTTCAAAGCCCCGCTTCCCTTTTCCTTTTCTAAAAGCAACTTAACAAATGTATACAAGAGCCACAAGCAACCAACAGGAACCATGAAATGATTCGACATCATCAGCATCGTGTCCACGGTGCTTTGGACGGGTTTTGGCCCTGATCATTATGGGATGTGGGGTTCAGATTCCCTGCTAGGCGTCGTCCTAAAGTGAAGTGCTCTGCTTTCCTTTTGGAGAATCTGTAATAGGCCGGCTTCATGCTGACTTTTGTGTTGTTTTTCACTGTGAGATATGAACTTGTGACCCCCCCCTCTCTCCCCCCAGCTATCTGCTGATCACGGTGGGCGTGGTCTACGTTCGCTCCTTTCCCCAGTCTCGTAAGGACATTCTGAAGGACCTGGTGGAGATGTGCCGCGGTGTCCAGCACCCACTCAGGGGCCTCTTCCTCAGGAACTACCTGCTGCAGTGCACCCGCAACATACTGCCCGACGACGGGGAGCAGCCAGAGTGAGAGCCGCCCCCAGTCCCTCGCCGGAGGGGGGTCCTAGAAATCCACCTCAGGGTTCCTCAAAAACACCAGAACACGCTTATGTCATTTTTAGATTGTAGCCCAGTTTAGATGAAAGGTTTTCCATCTGATGTTACGTGTCACCACCCAGCAGCACAGTACTGTATGAGTACCGGCCAGCTAAAGCATATGCAGAACCTTTCTGTGCGAGTTCCCCCTCTGAATCCTCCTTTCTTCTTCTCTGCTTTGTCAGCTGAGAAGTATCTTTAACACTAGTTTCTCTCCGGCTGAGGAACCTCCTCCCATGTCCTCTCCGCTTCGTCTAAGCTCGTCCCATTTACTCCACAGGGGAACGGAGGAGATGACCGGGGAGATCAACGACTCCATCGACTTCGTCCTGTTGAACTTTGCAGAAATGAACAAGTTATGGGTCCGAATGCAGCATCAGGGTCACAGCCGAGACCGAGAGAAGAGGGAGAAAGAGAGACAGGAGCTGCGGATCCTGGTGGGAACCAACCTGGTCCGCCTCAGCCAGCTGGAGGGCGTCAACGTGGAGAAGTACAAGCAGGTAAGTCTGCTTGCACTGTGGGAGTTTTCCACCACCCAAGATCCCAGTGGGACCCAGAGACACCGACTCCAGCTGTCCGGTTATCCTCTGATGTCGTCATTTACTGAATCCTTTTTACCCACAGAAAAAGGCATCAAATGTATTACAGCCATTAACCCAGTGGAAATAATGTTTGACCAGCTAATGGATAAACACTGTAAAGCACTAGATGGGTTACGGGCCTGTTCTGTTGATTTAAATGCTCAGCTGCTCCCGCTTATCCTTGGAAAGCAGCACAATGCGCTTGTATCGGGTCTCCATGGAGACGGGCTTCGGGTTGTGGATTCAGACTGTGGTCCTGCACTCAGCGCGTTGGTACACCAATACGACTCCACAGAGAGCCCACGCTCAGCAGCCAGCCCAGTTTGTAGGGGGGGAACTTGAATGTCTTCCAGGCGGTGTGAACCTCTGGGTTACGGTCGGTACGAGAGCCACTGAAGCTCCCGTGATGCTTCCTCTTGCTTCGTGGATCCAGAGAGCAAGGCGGCAGTGGGACTGTAACCGTCCAACTACACATCCAGTGTGTCCCCGACGCAGACCGCTTTGGACGCCTGCGTTTTAATTCAATGGATTTAGTTTTCAGTCACCCAGCTGTTTGGACATCTGGATGGTGACCCTGGCTTCTCTCCACAGATTGTTCTGGCTGGAGTGTTGGAGCAGGTTGTGAACTGCAGGGACTCGTTGGCTCAGGAGTATCTGATGGAGTGCATCATCCAGGTACACGCCACACTTCTTATTGTCTCTGTGCTGTGAAATGTAGTTCCAGCTCCTTGAATGGGTGTCAGTGCTCCTCCGGGACTAACGTGGTCTCGTCCCGAAAGGTTTTCCCAGACGAGTTCCACCTTCAGACCCTGAACCCCTTCCTGCGGTCCTGTGCTGAGCTCCACCAGCATGTCAATGTGAAGAACATCATCATTGCCCTCATTGACAGGTGCAGTTGGGTTCAGGTTGAATACTCCTTAGTCCCCATGGGGGCCTCTGTAAAGGGGAAGAGGAGCTGTGCACCGTTTCTGGTTGGACTAGAAGACGGCGACTAGCTTTGGGTGTGATGTTTGTCGTGTTTCAGGCTGGCTCTCTTTGCTCATCGAGAAGACGGCCCCGGCATCCCAGCAGAGATCAAACTCTTTGACATCTTCTCTCAGCAAGTGGCCACAGTCATTCAGGTAGGTGAGACGCCGTCCCGTTCAGGCAGGACCTATTTGTCGAGGCGGCCTCGGTGTCCGAGTACCACGCGAGCCAAAAGGTTGACTGGTCTGTATCAGTCACAGCGAGACATGTTTAAAAGCAGCACCACGAGGCGACACATTTACTCCCTCAGTCCTCGTTCACGCGGATAATTCAGTGAATCGCTCTCATGCTAGACATGTATTGTCTTCTAGATGGCGCGTGTATCTACAGGACAGACTAAACCACTCACTGCGTGTCGTGAGGGACTATTTAGTTTGTTTCATTTTTCTGCGTTCTGTAAGCTCACTTGAGGTCGGGAGATGAACCTGGACAGGAGGAAAGGGAAACTTGTCCTCCGTAGTTTGGACAAACACATCCGTTCACACGTCTTAATCCAGCAGAACAGTCCTCCAAGCATCGGTGGACCATTAAATGTCTTCTTTCTGTGATTCCTCCTTCAGTCTCGCCAGGACATGCCCTCCGAGGACGTGGTCTCTCTTCAGGTCTCTCTCATTAACTTGGCCATGAAGTGTTACCCGGACCGCGTCGACTACGTGGACAAAGTGCTGGAGAGCACCGTGGAGATCTTCAACAAGCTCAACTTGGAACAGTAGGTCCTGAATGAATGGAGCTCCGTGCTCGTGGAGGACGTAGCGCCTTCTTTACTACATCAATATACATACATGTTAACGGGAGGCCATTGTTCTTACTGACCTATTGTCTATGAGACCTCCTTCCCTGTGGACAGTTGACCCCTTAGCACCAGAAACGTGATGGAAGACCTCATACTCCGTGTGAAGCAGTCAAGTCTAAACGTTCTCTGGCTCGCCTGCCTCGGTACTGATGTGTCTCCCCTTGACCCTCCCAGCATAGCGACCAGCAGCGCCGTGTCCAAGGAACTTACTCGCCTGCTGAAGATCCCGGTGGACACCTACAACAACATCCTGACGGTGCTGCAGCTCAAGCACTTCCCCCCACTCTTTGAGTACTTTGACTACGAGTCCCGTAAGAGCATGAGCTGCTACGTGCTGAGCAACACGCTGGACTACAACACCACCATCCTGGCACAGGAACAGGTCAGTGTGTCGAGTCCAGCGTTTCCTCCATTAACAACGAGGAGGCGCTTCTCACCTGGTCGTGTGTCCTGGTTCTAATGCTGTCTTCACTGCGACGCTTCCCTTTTAATAAGGCGGATGTCCGGTTGGAGTAGAGTTAATCTGAGCCCTTTACGCACGAGTCAGAGCGCTGCATGGGCGCGAGCGTGCGTAAGACCGGAGTAACTCTCCCCTCGTGTCAGGAGAAGAATGAACATGGACTCACGAGACACGACCAACGTGCAGCACTGAGCGTTGTGTGCAGCCGCTGACTGCCGATCCCTCCCTGGCTCCTCTAGGTGGACTCCATCTTGACCTTGGTAGCCACACTGATCCAGGACCAGCCGGACCAACCGGCCGATGACCCCGACCCGGAGGACTTTGCCGAGGAGCAGAGCCTTGTGGGTCGGTTCATTCATCTGCTCCACTCTGAAGATCCTGATCAACAATACCTTGTGGGTCCTCTGGTCAACATTAGCGAGCGCGCCAGTCAGTAAGCGGGATGCCTTGTTAAACTTGTCTCTCTGTTTGAGGTCAGATTCTGAACACGGCCCGGAAACACTTTGGTGCGGGCGGAAACCTCCGGATCCGCTACACGCTGCCTCCCCTGGTGTTCGCTGCCTACCAGCTGGCCTTCAGATACAAGGAGAACTCTTCATCGGTGTGCAAACGCCCCTCTTCACGACCTCGCGTGCTCCGCTTTGTCTTTCCTTGTTTAAGTTGTCCCACTCTGTCTCCCGTCAGGATGACAAGTGGGAAAAGAAGTGCCAGAAGATCTTCTCCTTCGCCCACCAGACCATCAGTGCGCTGATCAAGGCTGAGCTGGCTGAGCTGCCTCTTCGACTCTTCCTGCAGGGCGCGCTGGCTGGAGGCGAGATCGGCTTTGAGAACCACGAGACTGTAGCCTACGAGTTCATGTCCCAGGTACGCTGTGTGGCGCCGCCGCCTCCCGCGCCTCCTGGGTGAAGGTGCTGAAACACTTTGCTGTAAAAATGAAAGGATTGAAACCGCAGTTGTAAAACTGGGAAATACCAGTAAACCAATAATAAGCTGGCTCACTTTGAGTTGAGTGGATTTGTTAAATCTCGCACTTTGGCCCCTTAATTCAAAAAAAGGAGAGCGGTGATGTTTGAATTTGGCAGCTGTCCCCTTGTCTCTCTCCCTCCAGGCCTTCTCTCTGTACGAGGACGAGATCAGTGACTCCAAAGCCCAGCTGGCGGCCATCACCCTGATCATCGGCACCTTTGAGCGCATGCGTTGTTTCAGCGAGGAGAACCACGAGCCGCTGAGGACTCAGTGTGCGCTGGCTGCCTCCAAGCTGCTGAAGAAGCCCGACCAGTGCCGAGCCGTCAGCATCTGTGCCCACCTCTTCTGGTCGGGCCGCAGCACCGACAAGAGTGGGGAAGAGGTGCGTTGCTGCTCTCCTCCATGTTTTCAGAAGAACTAAACGCTCCGTGTCGTGAGACTCTCATTCTGTCCAAGTTGATTCCGTTCTGCTTTTGTTAAACCTGTTGGCTTCAGACCATCAAGGCTCACCAAGTAGAAGGTGCACAGGGTTGTCTTGTTAGCATGTTGGTGAGGGCAAAGGAGAGCATGAGGGTTGAATCAGGGATGTGACAATGACACGTCTTAAACCCAGAGTTTACCAGGACGCCTGTATACAGAACTAAGCCCTTTGCTGTGACACGCTGGAACCTGGTCTGTTTCCGGCGCTGTCCTTGTTCAGTGCTGATGTTGCATCTCCAGATCCGTGACGGCAAGCGGGTGATGGAGTGCTTGAAGAAAGCCCTGAAGATCGCCAACCAGTGTATGGACCAATCGCTGCAGGTCCAGCTCTTCATCGAGATCCTCAACCGATACGTCTGCTTCTACGAGAGGGAAAACGATGCGGTAAGACACCCGCCTGGTCTAGTCTTCACTCTGCTGTAGCCCGACCTCTGACCTCTCACAAGCATGCTGTCTGATGTAGCAGGTGTATTACTACCATCACGCGTAGACACGCAGTGCATCTTTATGTTGAAGGTTAGATCACAACTATTACTATATCGAGGTAAGATGGTTGTTTAGGGATCCGACTCGTCTTCACTGAGCGGCGTGGTTGTGGTGACTGAGACGCATGTTGGTGTAACTTTATTAACAAGGCTGCAGCATGAATGAGTGATGCTAACAGATACTCACAGGATCTGCGTTTCTCTGTCATCGTTATTTCTCGTGAACAGCCGATAATTAAACCTTATTTAAATATTGCCACCGCAAGGCATTGTGGGACGGAATGATCTCCTTTCCTTTGCGTTCCTATGCTAAAGGAGCTAAGCGAGGAAGCATTGAAGCTCCTTTCCTCAGCACTAGAGGCTTCAAACCGCTCTCATTATGGCGCCACTTCATTTCACTCAGTGAGGAACCTTCCTGAGGACATTTGACAGTTTGAATCCAGCCAAGATGTCTTCCATTGTCCCACTACAGTCTCACTCTGTCCCTCGTTCTCCACCCCTCCAGGTGACGGTCCAAGTATTAAACCAGCTCATCCAGAAGATCAGGGAAGATCTTCCCAACCTGGAGGCCAGCGAGGAGACAGAGCAGATCAACAAACACTTCCACAACACACTGGAGCATCTCCGCCTGCAGAGAGAGTCCCCCGAGTCCGAGGGCCCCGCCTACGAGGGCCTCGTCCTTTAAAGTCCATCCTTCGATGTATCACTATGTTATAAATATACAACAGCGCGCACAATGTCCCATCCTGTAGGCCACAGATTAAAAAATAACTCAAGATCGCAAAGAACTCCCACCTTCATTCTATTAATGTTTATGCATAATTTAGTCTTCACGGCCCCTTACGAGCATCGAGGCTGGAGATGTTACATCTTAAGTGTGTGCCAGCAAGTTCCAGTGGCCTTGAGGCAACATCCCAGGCTGTCCTGCTCGTCCACCGTGTCTTTAACCTCCATCATTTTATCGTCACGTGAGACTTCTGACGTAGGCGTGTCTCAGTGAACGCATCAGTGGAACGGCTGCAGGATCCCTTAATAATAATAATAGTAATGGATAACTGCTGCTGTTGATTCAGGTCGGCCTGTCGAGCTGAAGCGTAAGCAAACGTTGGCCCCAAATTACCGAAGCAAACTGTTTTGGTGCCATCTTGAATGGACGGGAGGACGTTTTCACGTGCTCGGCAATGTCCTTTATTCAAACTGGGATACAAAGAAATCACCAATCATTTCCCCAAAACACTCACAAATTGTCATTTTTCTCTAGCAATGTTTTTGATTTCTTTATTGAAATCTGATTTGTTTCCATCCATCCATTTGTTTTATTTCCAGACTTCTCCCCAACGAACCCCCCCACTCAGAAGTTGCTTGTTCTCATGTCCTGCTTCTCAGTTCACTCTGCATGGACCAGCAGCAATGTCTGACCTTTGGTTGGTCAGTGAAATCCTGTGGCTCGTCGCGTGGGATGAATTTGGGGTCCTCAGGATGGTTTGCTAGTTGACAAGTTGCCATACTGACGATGTTCATGTTTGTTGCAGCCACTGACTGCTGATTTCTTTGCTCTTATCTGTTGTTGACCGATTCCTTTCCCCTTTTTTAAATCTGTGTAAACCTACTTGTAAATCAAATAAAGATTAAATAGCAATTATCATTGTCATTTGCTGAAATAAAATTGATATTAACGATACACATTTGAAGTGTGCTAATTTAACAGCCAGTTCCACACACATGGACCGAGCTAGTGTCCAGAAGCTCGTATGCAATGTTAATTATTCCGCTTCCCTTCATTCACTGCGATACTATATGATGTGATGTATTGAATTGACTTAGTCATATCTAGAAACAACCAGTTACTTTTCTCTTTTTACAGTTTACAGAAAAATAACAAGCGAACAGAAGAATCCTTTATTTCAGCAGATATTCACGTCACACACAACTTTGCGCATCACTTTGAAACATGAACACTGGCGTCCTGAAGTTTGCGGTCGCCATCACCCTGTGTGACTCCCCCGTCACTATTGTGGACTTCTTCCGTTTCCTGGGCTCCATCATCACCCAGGACCTCAAGTGGGAGCTGAACATCAGCTCCATCACCAAGAAGGCTCAGCAGAGGTTGTTCTTCCTGAGGCCGCTGAAGAAATTCAACCTGCCAAAGACGATGATGGTCCACTTCTACACGGCCATCATGGAGTCCATCCTCTGCTCCTCCATCAGCGTCTGGTACGCTGCAACCACAGCCAAGGACAAGGGCAGGCTGCAGCGTGTCCTCCGCTCTGCAGAGAGGGTGATCGGCTGCAATCTGCCGTCCCTGCAGGACTTGTTCGCTTCCAGGTCTCTGAAGCAGCTAAAAAGATGGTAGCCGACCCCTCTCACCCCGGACAAAACCTGTTTGTGCCCCTTCCATCTGGCAGGAGGCTGAGGTCCATCAGGGCTACGACCTCCCGCCACACCAACAGTTTCTTCCCGTCGGCAGTCGGGCTCATCAGCAGAGCCGGTCCCCCACTGACTGACTATAACATTCCACCGGTCACTTTCTTCACACTGCACATACATACAAGTGTTACTTTCACTTTCCACTCACTGGTGCACTTTGCTTTTAACTCATTTTTTATTTAAATTCCTCTTGCACTATGTTGTCTTATCTATCTTGTCTGATGTTTTGTTGTCTGACGTCAAAGTCCTTGTATATCTGACATGTTGGTAAATACATGTTCCTGATTTCTGTCCCGTGTTTGTTGCATCCTTCTACTTCTGTATGTTTTTCTTTATTTACACATGTCACACGTGTCGGTCATATCGTGGTCATTTCGCGTACTTCTGCCCAGAGGCTAAATCAATTAAAGAATGTTCTAACAAGTTCCTATTTTTACGAGCTGCTTCCATTCCTCAAATAAAAGAAAGGAATAATCATAAAAAAAGCTAAATTTACACAGCCAATGCCAGCTGAGATTCAGGAACAAATGGAAATGCGTGTTGGGAGAGCGATTCACCAAAAATCACTTAGTCTTACTATAGAGCCCAGTTGTGTTTCTTACACAAAAGGTTTACACCTGCCACTATGAATCGCGTATCTTTAATAATCAACTTTGCAGCGTTGCACAACTATTTTAACAGAATAACAAGTTTTAACTCCGGCGTTTTCCTATTGTACCTGAATGCAACACGCCAGCAGCGGAACTGTCGCTGCGCATGCGCAGAGCGTCGCGGTGCTTCTAGAATACCGAACCGTCCGTGTGCTTCTAGCGCCGTGTTGCCGTTTAGCCAAACCGGTGTGTCCCCCGCGCGGACGTCCGAGACTCTGCGCGAACCCTCTGCGGTCCAGCAGTCACCGAGAGACGCGGAGCCGCGGCGCGGCCCGAGGACACGGACTATGTCTGCGAATAAAACAAAGAAAGTCAAAATGGCTACGAAGTCTTGTCCTGAATGCGACCAACAGGTGAGGAAATCCGTGTGTGCGATTCAAACGCCGTCGGTAGCGACCCGCGCGCCGGTGGTCATTTAGCGCGGAGTCGCTCGCGCGCAGCGAGCACGCGGCAGCGTCACTGCACGGCGCGGAAGGCAGATCCCGTTGACCGGGAGCCGCGCGACGTCAGCGGCCGTTCTCCTCGGTGTTCAGGGTTCTTGTTGGAACATTAGTTAAAGAGTGTGAGTCACGTGAGGTCCGCACACAAAGCGCTGATCCACGATGTGAGGAACCCAACACACGCACTGCGACTCACACTCACTTCATACATTGCCATACATTTACTCCGCGTTGTTTTTCCAACATTCCCCAACGTGTCATGACGTTATGTCCTCAAACTTCTTCAAACATCAGATTCTTTTTCAGTTTTCAGACCTTGTTTTCCAACATGTTTTTCCAACCTTCTCTGAATGTTTTGTTTTTAACTTTTCGGTTAACGTTGTATTCCCACGTTCTCTGCTGTTCTCGGGATGTTTAGGAAACCTTGATTCTGAGCATTGTGAGAACTTTGGATTCCTGACTTCTTCTTGGAACATTGTCTTCGTTTTTCGTTCCAAAGATGTGTGTTTTACGTTTAGCTTCTTTTTCATAACATACACAAATTTAGAAGGTTCTCAATTCAGAGTTTCTGAAGGTTCTAACAGTGATTAATTACCTTTTTTGGAGCCCCCAAACATTTTTCGACCTTTTTAATGTTTTCTGGCTGTTGTTTGTTCTGTAACGATTTCTGACTGTTGGTGGTTCCGTAACGCATTCTGACTGTTGGTGGTTCCGAAACGCATTCTGACTGTTGGTGGTTCCGAAACGCATTCTGACTGTTGGTGGTTCCGTGACGCATTCTGACTGTTGGTGGTTCCGTAACGCATTCTGACTGTTGGTGGTTCCGTAACGCATTCTGACTGTTGGTGGTTCCGTAACGCATTCCGACTGTTGGTGGTTCCGTAACGCATTCTGACTGTGGTCTGTTCCGTAACGCATTCCGACTGTTGGTGGTTCCGTAACGCATTCCGACTGTTGGTGGTTCCGTAACGCATTCCGACTGTTGGTGGTTCCGTAACGCATTCCGACTGTTGGTGGTTCCGTAACGCATTCCGACTGTTGGTGGTTCCGTAACGCATTCCGACTGTTGGTGGTTCCGTAACGCATTCCGACTGTTGGTGGTTCCGTAACGATTTCCGACTGTTGGTGGTTCCGTAACGCATTCCGACTGTTGGTGGTTCCGTAACGCATTCCGACTGTTGGTGGTTCCGTAACGCATTCCGACTGTTGGTGGTTCCGTAACGATTTCCGACTGTTGGTGGTTCCGTAACGATTTCCGACTGTTGGTGGTTCCGTAACGCATTCCGACTGTTGGTGGTTCCGTAACGCATTCCGACTGTTGGTGGTTCCGTAACGCATTCCGACTGTTGGTGGTTCCGAAACGCATTCTGACTGTTGGTGGTTCCGAAACGCATTCTGACTGTTGGTGGTTCCGTAACGCATCCGACTGTTGGGGTTCCGTAACGCATTCCGACTGTTGGTGGTTCCGTAACGCATTCCGACTGTTGGTGGTTCCGTAACGCATTCCGACTGTTGGTGGTTCCGTAACGCATTCCGACTGTGGGTGGTTCCGTAACGCATTCCGACTGTGGGTGGTTCCGTAACGCATTCCGACTGTTGGTGGTTCCGTAACGCATTCCGACTGTTGGTGGTTCCGTAACGCATTCCGACTGTTGGTGGTTCCGTAACGCATTCCGACTGTTGGTGGTTCCGTAACGCATTCCGACTGTTGGTGGTTCCGTAACGCATTCCGACTGTTGGTGGTTCCGTAACGCATTCCGACTGTTGGTGGTTCCGTAACGCATTCCGACTGTTGGTGGTTCCGAAACGCATTCTGACTGTTGGTGGTTCCGTAACGCATTCTGACTGTTGGTGGTTCCGTAACGCATTCTGACTGTTGGTGGTTCCGTAACGCATTCTGACTGTTGGTGGTTCCGTAACGCATTCTGACTGTTGGTGGTTCCGTAACGCATTCTGACTGTGGTCTGTTCCGTAACGCATTCTGACTGTGGTCTGTTCCGTAACGCATTCTGACTGTGGTCTGTTCCGTAACGCATTCCGACTGTTGGTGGTTCCGAAACGCATTCTGACTGTTGGTGGTTCCGAAACGCATTCTGACTGTTGGTGGTTCCGTGACGCATTCTGACTGTCGGTGGTTCCG